CCCCAAAACCCCAAAACCCCAAAACCCCAAAACCCCAAGATATCCTTTAAAAATTGAAATTTTATTGAACCAATGGGGTTATAAAGACATGAAGGTGAACCGTGTCTTAGGTACTTTCTTACGGCATCTGGTAACAGCTGTACTAGTGTTTCGAGTATGAATTTTCCTCCTTCTTCTATTACAAGCACCTGCAGAGAAGATATTCCTTCCAATCTGTTGAGGTCTACTCGCTGTGTAAAATAAATCCTGGAGACGGTCTTTTGAACCGAATCTATCAGAGGTATTTGATTTGAGAGGATTTGATAGGATCTCAATACCCTTCGGAGAGCTTGAAACAAGATGGAAAGGGGACTGGACTCTACTATTTCTTTCCTCCTCAAGTTCTCTATGATAACTACTAAAATATCGTTCTTCTTGTTGTAGTAATTCTTTAGCCTTCTCAAATTCTTGATTTTTCTTCTGTTGTTGAGAATCTAGCTGCTTACTATTGTGCATGCAACTAGGAGCAATGTAATTATTTAGCCAGAAAATTGATATTTCTAGGTGGAGAATTGACTTCAGAGAGAATACTTTTAAAGTTATTCATGGTATAACAATCATCTATAGTAATTTAAATCAAAGCTCAAGCTCATATACCTTTTAAATTTTTAGCTTGGGGGTTTGATGGTTCAATTGTCTGCTTTCTTTTTGAAAATCTGTGAGCATTTAGCTCTTTTTCTTGCTTGCGAAATTTTATCCTCCATTCAACAAACTTTAAGTCTTCTCTTCCTATTCTTTTAACAATGGGCATACTCTTATTTAGGGAATTTTTCTTTTACAAATTTACTAATGATGTTATTTTACATCAACGCCCTTGGTATTACCAATAAGACTTTTGCCTTTGATTTTATCAACTTTAGTTCGAAGCCTTCTATGTGCTTTCCTATAGAGTTAGAAAATACTTACTCATTGTAAAACCTATCAATATTGATTCTCTTGATCTTAATAGGATCACCTTCTTCATCTACCGGTTAATACCTATAAAGCTCACCTCCACTGTCAGTCTTGCTGTCCAAGGGATCATAAAAGATGCTATGGAGGTTATCTAAATACAATTTGGTGATTAATTCTACTTTTTGCCTGAACTTCTCTTATCTTCTAAATAGATATATGCACATTAAATACCTTCTTTTCATTAATTCTGGATAATATTTTCTGAAAAAGGCTTTTACGAGTACTTGATCGTTTGAGTGAAGACTTCTTTTTGACTCTAAGAAACTTATTTCAGTTGTCCTTTAGCTTCCTGTAAACCTTAGTTAGGGACTAAAGATCAAGAAGATATTACTTTTATTTTTCTTTCTCCGTCTACTATTTGCTGCTGCTTCTTCTTCATCTTCAAATTTCTTAGTCATCACTCTCTCAAATTTCCTCGCATCGAAGGAGAATATGTTGTTCATTCTAAAAGTTCTCATAATATCTCACCCCAACCACCAAATACCCGACAAAACCCTAAACATTTCCGAATCTCTGGACTCTAAACTCCTCCCATACTTACACTACACCAGATAAATAATTATTCAAATTTCCATTCAAATACCCTAAAAAGGGGTTTTGGGGTTTTGGGGTTTTGGGGGTTTGGGG